ACCAATTAAACGGTTAATAAACTCAGGTTGATTCCTGCATGCAACACCCTGTGCCTTTTTTGTTTTGCAGTGAGTAGGGCGGGTGGGGTTTTACCTTTGAGAGTGGGAGAAATGACCCTCTGGTTAGCTGGTCTTCCCCCAAAGAAACTACAGTAAGAGAGAAGAAAGTAGCCCTGCTGGTGCGGGGCGATGAGGAAGCACGAAAGGTGCTGCTTTAGGAGCTGCATACGGACTCTGGGGTGAAATGCCTGTGCACTTATAAAGCTTTATGAGGGGCTTCACCTGGCCGGCTGCGTGGAGGCAACATATGGGGAAGGGAAGGTGCTGCTGCTTACATGGGTGGGCCACGCACTTTGCTCCGGCAAACTGCGCTGCGCCCTGGGCTTCCGGGCCCCTAGCGCAGCCTTCTTCCTGTTCGCACACAGCCTTTCGCACCCATTTGTAGGGTCCCGCTGCAAAGACGCTGAGACTCCGGGTGCCAAACAGCGGGCAATTGGGAATTCCCTCGAGCTTGAGCTTCACTTGTCATGGCTGCCTGTGTCATTTCATTTCCCTGGATATGTGAGTGAGTGTGCTGCCCGTCAGGTTTGCAGAGGAAAACAAATCCGAAGCAAGAACATTAGGTGCCCAAAGAGAACAGCACAAATCGAATTCAGGTGTGCTGTGCTCTCCTCCCTATTAAAATGTTCGTTTAATTACATCATATCACTTTGTTGGGCCTGATTTGCAGTCCTCCCCCAAGCAAAAAATACCTATTGAGGTCCCTTCCGGTCCTACACTTCTATGAAAAAAGCATTCCTTTTGAGGTCAGTGGGCGAGTCCACTGAATGTATTTATTTATTTTACCAGAGTAAGGACCACAGGCTAGATGGATCCTATTCTGTAGTCTTTATTTAGGCAAAACTCCCTATTAACTCCATGAGACATTTGCCAGGGTAGGCGGTGCCGGATCTGGTCGAGGGTTGAAGGCTAGATAGATATATTTTATTCAGTGTAAGTACAGAAAATCAGAATCAAGACCTGCCTGAGGCAAAAGCGCCTACTGATTTCAAGAAAAGTTTTGCCTGAATAAAGATGGCAGAATCAGAGCACACTGCTATAAAATAATTTCAGTATTTCTATTCGAGTTGTATGTTTGGTCCTATTTTAAATAGGTTTAACATATCGCTGGTTTATTTATATGGCTGTAGACCCCCACATCTAACTAAATATATATTTAGTGCACATTTTTTTTATGAGGAGGGTTGTGCTGGCATTGCTTAATTTTGTACTCAGCATTACAGACTTCCAGAGCGCAGCCTGGAAATGCATTCCCCACCAAAGGCCAAACACTCTTACAAAGTTTAGTGTAAACGAGGATAAAGGGCATAGCAAAACGGTGCCTAATTTTTCAGGTAGTGACCAGCACCACTCCTCTGAAAACAAAACTCCTTCAGGCGTCTGAGAATGGGAACTTCAAAACGGAAGCATTCACAACCCCTAGTCACCCCTTAACCATTGTTTTTACTGTCTGAGAGTGATTTCCAAACGGGAGCACAAAGTTGTTTGTTTGTTTTCTCTCCGCTGAATCCGGATTGTATGACCCATAGTTTATTGGGGAAATAATCATTTCAGAAGCCAGCAAGTGAAAACAAAACCGATAAGGGCTTGCATCTCCAGCCAACCCCTCTTCACTACTCCCAAACAAAGGAAGGGGAAGAAGGTAGCGAGTGTTTCAGAGCTGCAGATGCACACAGAGAGCTTCCTGGCCTAGCAGATCTGCCAGTGCTAAAGAGGTGGCTGTGCCTTTTGGAATCACATTCTTCCTACCCCTCTCCCCGTTTGTTTAATTAATTTTATTTTTCCTAGATCAAATTAGAAACTATTGGAAGGGATATCTTCTTCCATTCCTTTGCCACCGTTGGATGGCAAATAAGCGCCCGGGTATTGCAGCCAAAATGCTATTGGGCAGAAACTACACTGTATGTATCAGCCCAGTTTTGCCCCTCGTTGCTAGCATTAAGGACTGAATCAATCGAATGGAGGGGGTGGATATGGTTAGATCAAAGCTGTTGGTTCTTAAAGCGTTGGGGAGGGAAGTGTCCGTGTGAACTCCAGTGGTCTGGGGGTGTATGGGTGGAAATGAAACATTTTAAAGCCCAGAAAGGTCCCTTGTGATTCAGCTGATGTGGCTAATACACTGACACCAGAAAAGGCAAAGAAACGTTTTTTGTGGCCTTTAATTTGTGAACGTTAAATGCATTTCCACAGAGAAGTTATTAAAATAAAGAATGAGTCCGCGTCCTCAGTCCCAAACATGGTAGCGTCCTATGATATATTCCTGCAAAGCGCTGAAACTGGTTTAATAGCCGAAGCAACATTCCAGGTTGGCTAGAACGCCTTCTTCTCTCTCCTAAAGATGGGCAATTCCTTGTAGCCTAAATTGTTTATCTTCTTATAAGAAATAACCTCGAGTGGAGGAGGCTGTTATGTAGGGGCTATAACCTATATTTTGTCAAGAGTAGAAAATTCATTCCGAAGGAAAAGCTCGATCAATTTATTTTTGCTGCTTGCAATAACACAGCTGGATGATGCCTTGAGCCCACGCTAGACTGTGGCTCATCATTCATTCGCCAAGAACTGGCCTAAATGGTGCCTGTGGGATTAGGTCAATTTTAGTGGATCTACTTCGCCTCATTTGGTTACTAATTGGTTTCTTGTTTTATAAATCGAAATCTCATTTTCAGGAAATTACAAAGCCCATGCAGCCAGTCCATTGAGGTAATCCGTGGGTCAGGGGGTATTTTAATACAATGCATCAGGTATAAAGCAACAGTAAAACTTCGCCTAGATTTTCAAATGAAATGTGAGCCAGCTAGCGCTTTAGATCCATAATAGATACATCCCTTCTAAGGCTACTTATGTAAATATGATAAACCAGACTTTGATGGAGGTGGGGGGCTCGGGGAGGAAAGCAAATTTTATCTACTAAGGTTAATGTGGCATATCTTGGAAATCTTCCAAAATAGATTATGTTTTGCTTTGTTTTCGGCCACTTTAGCTGGGAAAATCCTTTGCCTAAAAGCGCTTTAGTTATCCTTCCCCTCACAAAGCTGCTTGTTTCTATTCCAAACCTATTATTCTGTTCGCCTCTCCAAATTACAAGAGAATCTTTAGATCTTGTTTCCAGTGTAATCCTGAAGCAAAAAGGAAGCTGATTTCCTTGTTTTGTTTTAAATAGACAATCAAAGGATTTGTAGAATTTTCTGCGGTAGGTCAAGTGCAAGAAATCACAGTTTACCCCCCTCGCTAAAAGAAAATTGGGTGTTAAAACGAATAGACAGACAGATAAAAAAAAGTTACATCAATGAAGAGTTTTTTCTGCACAACCCTTTAAAAACAGAATTTTAAAGGACATCAGGATAGCAATGGGCTGGGGTGGTCGGAAGGATTGGCAATGAATAAAAATAGTCTCTAACTTGAAAGCACTGAAACACCTGGAAAATACAAAGAGCTGTCTCATATTGTGGGGTTTCGAAAAGCCGGTTCTGGTAGACAAGTGAAAACATTTAATTATAAAACATTAACTTAGACACAGCTAAACAGCGAAAGGTTTCCACCTGACACATAAAAAAAGGAGTGCAATGCTCCGTGAAAAAAAGTTAACCTGTAATGTAGATGGGCTATTCATTAACCCGCAAGGGTAGGGCTATTTTCCCTTTTAGGAGCAGCATAATTAGACCCGTTAACTCGGATTAATAAACAACTTAGAACCTAGGCAAGGAATTCAGCCGCTGTATTAAATACAGAAATCCGTCTTCCTGATACTCCGGGTAGGACATTTTATGCAAAGTGGTGCTTTTTTCTCACTTTAATGGGCTTTATTGTTAAGCACAACCAAACCAAACCTCCGAAACGTGTACTTAATCAAAATTTCATAGGGGAATTTTCGGTCTTTCTCTGGAAACGATGCAACCTTTGCAGGATAATGTTAGTGCTTGTTAATTTCAAGAGGAAATGTGGTGCCTGTTAATTTGACCACGCGCTTTCCACGGTGTATATGCTTTCCAGTATCTTCCCCGCCACCGTCTCATGAATGAAATCGTTTACTACTGCGTTTGGGTAGTAAAAAGGGTTAGAAGTCAGTGCGTCTGTGGCTCGCTTGCTGTCTAACGGGGAGATGGGATGATTGCTTTCGGGGGCAGCACAATTGTCAATTATTATAGAAGCGCGTAAGGTGCAGACTTCTCCCATAACCCTTTACCCCGGGGCTCTGGAAAGTCACTGGGAACCTGCTATTGAGCAGAAGGAACTAATCCCAAGGACCCTGCTGCCGGCCGGCATTTGGCGAGATGAAGGATCAGGGGATAGAGGCAGAGGTATATGTATTGGGGGGCGGGGGAAAGGCAGTCTATTGAGGCCCCTGGCCGAGGGAGAATTGAGGAGAGGAGGGGTATTACCCCGTTTGCAGGGGAGGAGAGAAAAGCGTAGAGGCAGAAAGGAGAAGAGAGATGCTGGCATGGGGAAGAGGGGAGGGATGTAAACAGAAGAGGAAGAAGTGGAGATTTAAGGAGAGAGACTCTTGTGGAGAACTGAGAAGGGGGTAGGAGAGAGATGGTGAGCGAGGAGGGGCTGGCGCTGCTAAAAGCTCTGGCCTATTGAAGGAGGGATGGAGAGGAGAAATGGAGGAAAGGATGGCTGGAGAGAGAGAGACAGAGAATGCACGGCCTTAGAGTGGGCGCTTCAGTGTTTGAATAGCGGTAGAGAAATCGTTAGCTTTATTTAGACGTGTAAACACCCAGGTGAGCCCGGTCAATACTGAGAGGGAGTTAACTGCTCCACATCGCCTCCATTCCCATCCCTTGTTTGTTTGCATCTGAATAAACGAAAAACAAGCCGCGAGGAGTTTGTAAAGGGCTAATTCTGCGGGAGGCTGTCCCTGCTTGGACCCCGTGTTCGCCTCATGGCGGTTTGCTCTGCGCAGCCATCAATCACTTTTTTTTATTCACTGCTAAGCTTTGTTTAATGGTGTAAGCATAAAAGGTTTTAATCGCTAAATTGAAATTATTTCAGCAACGGCATTGTTAAACTGTTTATGGGTAATGCCTTTTAACTCCGGCACAGTCCGTTCCATCCGGCTCCTTTCCCTAGCCTTTTGCATATAGGAAAACAAGCACACATTGAAACATTAGCAACGTCCGGGGAGATTCCTTGTTGAATCCAACTAGATGGAGTATTTGGAAGCAGATCATTCACAGTGAAGAGAGTTCATTCCTTCAATGGGAGAGAGAGGGCCTTGTATGTCGTGGGGAAGAGGGTTTGATTGGGAAGAGAGGAGCTGGTACCTTGGTTAGTGAGTGACTCCGACCGCTTCGGAAGTACATTTATGCACTGTCTGGTGCTGTCGCGACACTGCAGCTATGGAAAGAAGTCGAGAAAGGTAGTTTACTTTTAGTGGCATACGTTAAAGTGGAAATAAATTTTAATAAAATGCAGGGACCCGATCTTGCATCCCTGGAGCACCCAAAAGCTCCTATTGAAGTCGATAGATAGATGAGGAATGAAGGATCGGGGCCTTATTCGGGATTTACACCATATCGCTGATCAAATCAGAAAGTTATCTTGATGGCCAGGGTTACATTTTAAAGCCAACCCAATATATAGCCTGGTCTACATATTCAGCTTGTTAATTTCTTGGGAGGTTGTGCGCAAACAATACAAAACATTTGTTTCTGGAAGAGTCGGCAAACACACGAAATAAAATACTCACATACCTGAGTTATCCTTCTCTAATCGAATAATACTGAATAACAGCAATGCTGTATTTCATTGGCTTTATAACACTTAAATCGTTCTGAACTGTATTCAAGTCCTGTTAACCGCATCATTCTGTTGAAATTAAATATTTCTTTTTGGGTCTCATTTTGATACCTCGCAATGTTGTTCTGTAATTTTTCAATGAGGTCAGAAGCAAAGATATTGTACTACCTTTTATTCCGGGAAGCTACTTTCTTACGGTGACCAGATAGCAAGTGTGAAAAATCGGAACAGGGGGTGGGGAGTAATAGGAGCCCGTATATAAAAAAAGCCCCAAATATCGGGACTGTCCCTATACAATCAGGACATCTGGTCACCCTATACTTTCTAGAAGCCATTGTCCAGGTTGAATAGCGTTTTATCTGGAGCCGGTTCCCTGGCTTAGTTGAGTTCACTCAGTTCTTATTAATGAATTTTACTGGTAATTCCAACATAGATATCCCCTCCCCAAACAGGAATTAGATTTTAAAATACTCAACAAGGGAATTATTTCCGCTTATTCAACTACTAGAAAACGTTTTAAAGTGTTTGGTTTTCTTTGTTTTAGTTTCAAATAAACCATCCCTGACTGGCCAATGAGAATTTGTATCTTGTCGTCTCACTTTAATTTTTGTGTGTCTTAAATAAACAGGACTTGGCGAAGCCTGGGGCCATACTAGTCGAACCAGCCCTTTGGATAATGTTGGACGGGAGCTGGGATCCCATCTTTTGCAGGTACTGGCCTGGAAACGCGAGCCATTTGGTATTAATGATTAAAGAGATCGTACCATATTCTGAGCTTTTAATTATTCCCTTGTCTAATCTTTAACTGTTCACGTGCTTCACAAAAGGAGAGTCCAGAATTGTGAACAGTGTGGTGGAATTTATCTGTCACGATCCTTTGCCTCTATCACGGTACAATGGGCTGCGCAGCGCCTCTCAACTTGCTGGAGGCCATTCTATGTGTCCGAAGGAGAAAGTGGTAGCTTGATTTGGTCCCTAATCTCAACAGCCTTGTCAGTCAGCAGGGTGAAAAGATTTGTGAGTGTAGTTGTCTTGTTCTGAGAAATCTGCTGAGCACAAACACGTGTCTTTAAAGTGGTGCAAGGTGATAAGAAAAGTGGGAGAAACCGTAGAGAGGATTCAGGGGGCTATTTTGAGGAGTACATTTTATATGTACAGGTGCCGCAAACGGTTAGAAAGCCTTGATCCCATGGTAGTTAGAATAAACATTGATTAATTAAAGACACAGAAAACATTAATTCAGCTATGACACAATTGAAAACTCACTGTTGCCTAAAGGATTAACAAAGGAATATTAGTGATTACAATCCTAGCTATTCAGGCATTTGGTACTGTGGGGTCTTGCAGCATTTTATACCCGCCTCTAATAAACAGAGGCCTGTTCTTCTCTCAGTGCACACAAATAACGCTTATTAAATCTATCTATCTATCTATCTATCTATCTATCTATCTATCTATCTATCTATCTATCTATTTAATCTTAACAAGCCTTTTACATAGTTCTGTCCGTTTCAAACGTTATTTACATTGTGGAGAGTTGTAGATCGTTCCTTGCTCGCTGTAATCTCTTAAGCAAATATGTAAGAGTTAAAATCTCTACTGAAATCGTAGATGGGGGATGGAAGTGTTCAGTATTTCTCCAGTGGGAACGGTCAGCAAAGCCCAGGCTGGGAGCTTCTGTTCTTGCTGCTTTGGAGTCTTAGGTTGATTCATTGTCACATTTTATTACAGAGCCATTTCAAACAGGTCCCCTGTTTTGAGGTGCGTTATGTTCATATCCTGGCCCCGTTAAGCGGATCTATTGAAATGATGTTCCAGCTTCCTCCCACCCTCCAACTCTTTTAGTAATGAAAGCCAGGCTGGAATCCCCGATCTGCTAAATCAATCCCAGGCACACGTAGTTCACAGATATGTGGTGTCTTCTTTTCCTTGTAGACGTTGGATGGCTTCATATTTGTTGTGGCTCCAGACGGCAAGATCATGTACATTTCAGAGACGGCCTCCGTTCATCTGGGTTTATCACAGGTAAGTGGACAGGTTGCCCACTAACGGCTTATACGTGCGTGTGACAGGGCATAATTCCCCTATCTATATCCCTGTATTTTCCAGAGGAGATGTACAGCTGCCTCTAAGCGATTTGCTTAAACCGGAGCTAGTGTGAATGGCAATCCAGACAAAGCCAGGACACTGTAATTGTCTGTGTGTTTATAGAGCTGTACCACTGGAGCAGATGGCCGCACATCTAGCACCAGCTACATACGCACGCTATGTCAATGGCGAGAAAGATGAAATCCTCCTCTTCCTTCACAGGTAGAGCTGACCGGAAATAGCATTTACGAATACATCCACCCTGCTGATCACGATGAGATGACCGCGGTGCTCACAGCTCACCAGCCCTACCACTCTCACTTCGTGCAGGGTAAAGTACATTCTCTCTCCCGGCTTGGCCTCAGCGCCTGTGCGGATGTGGGTTCTGCATTGGAAGCGAAGCCATCAGGTGCCACCAGGCCCCGCTGCCCTTTTCTCACTGATGCCTCTGCCTTTTCCCCTAGAGTATGAGATCGAGCGCTCCTTTTTCCTAAGGATGAAGTGCGTCTTGGCTAAGAGGAATGCGGGGCTGACCTGCGGGGGCTACAAGGTGCGTGGATAGGAGTCACCAGAGGTTCCTGCTCAGAAGGATGGGAAGTGCATGTTAGAGAATGTCTGTGCTTGGCTAGGCCGCTGGGTCTTGCGGTGTGAAAGCAGGGGACTAGCAGTCAGAATGAGACCTCAGCCCATTTGAGCGATTTCAGCGGGCAGGACTTTTCTAAAGTGTGGGTTTCGTGTTCAGGCCCAGAGTTTCTCTTCGGGTTGCAGATACATGAACACACACCACAAAGCCAAACTCAGCCAAATCCCCCAAGTTTTGCCAGAATTTGTAGTAGAAACCAAGCAAAACCCACTGAAGTTCCCGTGAAACTGTGAGCTGATCCATTGCAAACCTTTGGGCGAACTTGGATGGACTTTTAAAAAAGTTTGTAAAGGCTCTTCAAATTAGGTGAAGTTCTCCTAGTCTAAGGTCCTGTCAGGTATCTCCTCCGAGTCTTAGTTTTATGTACCTCTGTTCAGGACTCCTGGGTTCTATGTCTCACAAACATTTTATGTGACGTTTGCCTCTCAGCATCTCTCTTTGCATCAGCCGACTCTTCCGTAAAATGGGGAAGAATAATGATTGTGAGACTAAATTCATTAATACACATACATCGCTCTGAGTTCCTGCAGGAAAAAGGCATTATAATAAAGTATTATTATAACATCAAAATATATATACTATGTATATGTGTGAAATGTGTATAAATCTATATCCACATACATATACCATACACATATGGTGTCTAATACATATCTATGTAACGAACACCTTACACATATTTATTTATGTAACGAACACCTTACACATATTTATTTACACGCACCTAATCTACACTCACATACATCTTGTGTGGGTGAAATTATAAATATCAGTTGTGAACAACCTGGCACCACTTCGTCTTTCTGACTGTTGCAATGTTTAGAGGAATAATAAAAGCATAGCTAGGCCTTGATCCCAATCCCACTTGAATCCCTGGAACAGCCCCCACTGACTTCGATGGGTCTGGATCAGGTCCTGATTGCTGAATTGTTCTATAGGGAAAAGAATCTCTCTCTGACCAGGACCATGGTAACAGGCAAATTCCTATGACACTGCGCTGCTCTTCAGTAGGCTGTATATTTTGGGTGCTGGCCACCTTTAAGGTGCCCACCCGTGTAGTATGTGTGTTTTCAAGCGCGAGCGATTTCCCTGATGTACGCAGGGCGTGAAGTGTCCCTATCTTGTGTCTGGCAGGTCATTCATTGCAGCGGCTACCTGAAGATCCGCCAGTACAGCCTGGACATGTCCCCCTTCGATGGCTGCTACCAGAACGTTGGCTTGGTCGCTGTTGGCCACTCGCTACCTCCCAGCGCAGTGACAGAAATCAAGCTGCACAGCAATATGTTCATGTTCCGGGCCAGCCTGGACATGAAACTCATCTTCTTAGATTCCAGGTAGCCGGTTTGCTTTTTAAACTCAGACTCCGGCCCCGCTCTTTCCTGTCCGGCTTCGCTCTCTGCCCGGTCACTTATTGGTGAATGCTTCTGGCTCTCTCTTCCACAGGGTGGCTGAGCTGACGGGTTACGAGCCGCAGGACCTGATAGAGAAGACCCTTTACCACCACGTCCATGGCTGTGACACTTTCCACTTGCGCTGCGCTCACCATTTGTGTAAGGAGTCCTGTTTGCTAAAGCACAAGGGAGTAACCGCCTCCCCCCCCCCCCCTCCGTCCCCAGGACAGCTCCTCTGAGGCCTGATGTTAGCCTTCTCCCTCTAAACCCGGACTTATTTGATTTACACCTAGGACGAAATCGGGGCTGGGAGAGGGTGGGGAGTGGACAAGGAGCAGTTGCATTGGGTCTCTAATTCACCGATGCTTTCCCTCAGCAACCCGTTATGAGGAAAGAACTAAAGCGATCAAATCTCAGACATTTCAGTTGGGAATCTTTTCCCGGCTCCAAAAGGGCCTGCCAGTAAAATCCAGACTCCCTTTCTCCAGCCTCGCAATGCCACACGAATCTTATGTACACATTTCTTTGGAACAGTCATATTCCGAGTCGTAGATCCGATTTTTATTTCAATATCACGCTGACATTAATACACGGGGGGGGAGGTGAATGAATGAAAAAGATATTCGTTTCCTGTAAGTTTTCTTCCCATTTATAGAAAATGTAACGGGCACAAGTAGACGCAAAACCCATTTTAAATATTCTTTATCAGAAAAAAATATCCCCCCCCCCAGTAGTGGACTGTGCATTATTATTTATTATTGTGAAACAGTTAGTGGCATGTAGTTTCCTTTGCACTCTGTGAACATTGTTTTTTTGTTAATGTGCTGACATGAATTGGTTACCCCGGAGACACATAAGTGATGGGATCAGTTGTTGTTTGGAAATTTCCGGACATGAATTTATTTGCACTAAGCCCGCACCTCTGATGTCAGTGGGAGCTTTCTCATTAACTTCAGTGGGCGCGGGATCGTTGTCACCAAGACACACACACACACACAACGTTCGGATCTGTATTTTTGCCTTTACTAAAGCACCCGTTTGCCCTGAGCCAGCTTCCTTGAGAAGTAGCTGTAGCCCTTTATCTGAGCTCCCGCTAACAAAAGCAACTTGGGCTTCCCCAGTGAGTGGTAACCCTTCTCGGGGCGGGGGCATGCAAGGAGCAGCAGTACTCCACTGAGGTCCTTTTCTTTCCTTTCATTCTTTTGTATCTTCCGCAGTGCTCGTGAAAGGGCAGGTGACCACCAAATACTACCGCTTCCTGGCCAAGCACGGCGGCTGGGTGTGGGTGCAGAGTTATGCCACCATCGTGCACAATAGCAGATCCTCGCGGCCACACTGCATAGTCAGCGTCAACTACGTCCTCACGTAAGTGAGCCCAGGGGCTGCTCTAAACTATGCGGAGCGAGGCGCGCCAGACGGGAAAGGCCTTGTGGAAACGCATGGATAAAAAGGGGCCCTGCCCCACCACAGCGAAGCGCGTTGCTTGGAACAGACCTAGCTCCACAATCTCTCCCTTCCTCTTAGCCTAGGTCTGCTAAA